AGCCCACGCCATTGATAATAGTATTGTGTCACTCATAGCTGTACATCATGCACCATCAAAGACCAACTAACCACATGATATGAATCTGGCAAGATAAGCTTACATTAGTAGCTACCTCATTTTTTATATTTGGCCAGGGAGGTCAACAGATTTAGCCAGAATTTATACTATATATATATTGGTCCTAGTTGGAAAATTAATAGGCAGGATAGGAGGATGTGGCTTATTTCAGTAGATTTTCTTGTGTTCAAGGCAAAATTCATAGATGGTTGGTGTGCACCACACAAAAATTTCTGGAAGAAATTTGCCAGATAATATGAGAATCACATTCCATACCTAACAGTGTAAAAGGGATGGAATATTGCATGCCAATTTTTGAGTGGTTGTGCTCAATCAAGTCTGTTTATATCAATCATAAAAAGTAGAAAGTCGCTCAGGGAATTTTCTTGGATTTTAGTAGTTGATAGTGTAGGTAATTTCTTCTAATAGTTCCGCCAAAGGGATCGCAATGACATTGGTATCGTTGGAATCCTCTCACTGTCTACAGTGCAAATAACTAGGTTTAATTGTGTGGAAATCCCCTTAACCCCCCCCCCTATTAGTGACAAGCTTGTGCCTGATAGCAGGGGAGGGCATGAAAAGTACCAGGGAAATTGCAGGGTAAAATATGAATAATCTACACAAAATCAGTCACTGTATTGTCCAATGCAGGGGCTGTACCTCCTGCGACCCCCCCATGGGTGGCTGCTGCCCCCCAACCCCTATTCAGAAAAACAAAGAATCCTCCATGTATTCACGGTAGGAATGTTGGACAGACTAGGCAGTGTTGCTCCTGCATGACAGTTGTACGCTCTCTCTGGCCTTTAATATGTGGAGGAATCATTGTTTTACTAGGTGGGGATTATTCATATTTGACCATGCAATTTCCCTGGTACCTTTCTTGTCCTCCCCTGTTATCAGGGCCACGAAATTGTGGGTATGGGTTGTTTCTGTGGAATAATTTCTATATATTTGGAACAAGTGAGAGGAATCCAACGAGAACAAAATCATCATAATCCGTTTGCAGAGCTATTAGAAAAAAAAATCCAATAATAATAATATTATAAGTAGTAACAGCAACAGCAGTGATAGCAGTAGCAGTCACAGTATCACTTATATATTTATTTTGTGTTTACTGGTACACATAAGTTTATTTTATTATATTATTTTTTTTCCTTTCAGAAGCAGACCTAGAGCCATGCCTGAGGTAGACCAGAGTAAGGAAGTGAAGGTAGAGAAGGTACAGGAGGTGGAGGTGGAAGGAAAAGTTGAGGAGGAGGTTTCAGAGGAATGGCTTGATGTCTTAGGAAGTGGAGACCTCAAAAAGAAGGTAAATCATTGGAACATTTCCTTTTTGTTTGTTTGTTTGTCTTTAGTCTGTTTTATGTGCAGAAACAGTGTTTTGTTAGAAATATGATAAAGATGATGATTTACATATGCTGAAAAGATTGTAGTGTGATATATGAAAGGAATGTGATAAAAAAAAAGACATTTTCAACTGCTAAGGTAACAAGCCATTAGATATGCATATAAAACAAATAGTAGTGCTGTGTTCCCACAGTATCATGAAAACTGTAATTATTTTCTTCAGGTGATAAAACCAGGAGTAATTGACTCAAGACCAGTAAAAGGTGACACGGTTACAGTTCGAGCAGCTGGAAGGCTTGACGATGGCAAAGAAGTGGATGTTCACGATGAACTTACATTCACAGTTGGAGACAGCGAGGTAACACTTTTGAATAGTATAAAATCTATACCTAACAGTTGATATTATTGAAACTGACTATCTGCAAGTTTGGTCAGATTATATTTAAACATTTGTAAATTTAATATGAAATTTAATGAGAAAGGATTTAGAAATTCCCAGTGTTGCAGAAAAATATAAAATATAGAAATACTGTCAGGAAATGTGAAGTAACAAGAAAGATTAATAAGCAGGTGTAGATATGTAAAATTTTAAGATATGGACATTGCTCAGTAATAAATAATTTTGTATGGAAAATCATCAGAAATAAATAGTAACCTCTCTTGTATGGGTGATCCAATGTTAACACAGATTTCAAAAGTATATCCGAGTATATAAGGTGATTATGTACTTTTTGTGAATACTAGCATATAAGGTGATTATTTACTTTTTGTGAATAAGTTATTTTTAGGATTTGATAGTGTAAAATGCCCTTCTAAATTATTTGACTACAAGAGTCTTGCCTTAAACATAAATCATTACAACCTGATAATACTAACAGCGCCAGTAACCACAATACTCATTTGCAAACTTTTGATATTCACAAAAGTTTACGAAGATAATCTTTGCAAATGCTAAATGCTAGTTATATTACTACTTTTTTGTCTCATCATCTTTACTTTTTAGGTGGTACTTGGATTGGACATGATTGTGCCTCTGATGGATAAGGGAGAAATGGCAGAAGTTTACATCGGTGCCAGGTATGACCAGTATTGATTAACTTCTTTGTACTGATTTGAGTTCAAATACTAAAAGAAACATGGCTTTTTCCAGCTCCTCGCATTCTCCTCCTCTTCCTTCTCTTCATGCTTTTCCTCTTTCTTCTCTTCATGCTCATGCTGCTCCTCTTCCCTCCCCCTCTTTCTATTCCTCCTCTTTCTCCTCCTTTTCTTTCTCCTCCTCCTCCTCCTCCTGTTAATTTCTTTGTACTGATTTGAGTTCAAATGCTAAAAGAAACATGGCTTTTACCAGCTCCTCTCCTTTTCCTCCTCTTCCTTATGCTCTTCCTTCCTTTTCTTCATGCTTTTCCTCTTTCTTCTCTTCATGCTCTTACTGCTCCTCCCTCCTCCTCCTCTTTCTCTTCCTCCTCTTCTTTCTCCTCCTCCTCCTCCTGTTGATTTCTTTGTACTGATTTGAGTTCTAATGCTAAAAGAAACTTAGCTTTTTCCAGCTCCTCTCCTCCTCCTTATGCTTCTCCTCTTCCTTTTCTTCATGCTTCTCCTCTTTATTTTCTTAATGCTCATGCTGCTCCTCCCTCCTCCTCCTCCTCCTTCTCCTTCTCCTTCTTCTTCTTCTTCTTCTTCTTCTTCTTCTTCTTCTTCTTCTTCTTCTTCTTCTTCTTCTTCTTCTTCTTCTTCTTCTTCTTCTTCTTCTTCTTCTTCTTCTTCTTCTTCTTCTTCTCCTCCTCTCCTCCTCCTCCTCCTCCTCCTCCTCCTCCTCCTCCTCCTCTCCTCTTCCTCCTCCTCTCCTCTTCCTCCTGCTCTTCCTCCTCCTCCTCCTCCTCCTCCTCCTCCTCCTCCTCCTCCTCTCCTCATCTTCCTCCTCCTTCCCCTCCTCCCTCCTCCTCCTCCTTCTCCTCCTTCCTCCTCTATCTCCTCTTCCTCTCCTCTCCTCCTCCCTTTTCCTCTCCTCCCCTTCCTCGTTCTTCATCGCCATCTTCTCCTCCCTCCTTCATAACCTCCAATATCCTCTCTCCTCCTTCCTCCTCCTCCTCCTCCCTCATCATCTTTTTATCTTCTTTTATCTTGCTGTTGTCCTTTCCCTACCCCTACCAATCCCGACTTCCTCAGTGTAAGTGTAAATTATTCTAATTGTGAGATTTTTTTGTTTCGATTTGTCCTAATGAGTTTGCTATTATTCCCTGTTCGAAAGGGGTGTAGATCCTCAAGACTATCCCAAAATGTATTACCTATATGTAAATCTTAACAAATATATAGGAACAATAAGAGAGACTCCTGACAATCCTCAAAGATGGAAGAAGATAACGATGATGTGAGTCTGCTGTGTGGATACATCATGCTGAGCTAACGCCTGTGATAGTATGTGAAACTAAAATGAATGCGTACATGTGTGTCTAGTAAGGAACTAAATGTATGGGGGTAACTTTGGGTAAGAGATGCCACTGTCATCATTTATAAATATCAGCTGTGTGATCAATCTTTATAGCAACTGAGGCCCTCAACGTATCTTACTCAATCAAAGATATCCTTATGCCTAGGTGTCACTGTTATACGCGTCCATAACTGTGTTGAGTGATACCTCACACTAGTTGTTAAGAACATCAACTTGAGTTCAATTATAATTAGCGCTTTATTATAAATAGATAGTAAAAATATGGTGCTGCTCAGATCCAAAATTTTGAGTGCAATCTATGGAAAAAAAGCAAATCTTATGAAACTGCTTACTATTCTTATGAATGCTGTGATCTGATGCCAAGCACTAATCTTGAAAGGCAGCATCTTCAGAGAAATGTTCAGTGAGAAGCTGTGCCTGAAAGACAATATTGTGTATAAGTATCTTTTCAATATGCATTTGCAGTGATAATAAAAAAAAAATCATCACTGCTGTATCATTGTCATGGAATATACCATTACAGAATGTTCTTTTGAGGCACTAGGTCTGCCAAAAATTTAAAGATGCTGTCACAATACTAAAAACTGCCGGACCACCCGAATCCGAAGAGCTGGAGCGGTCCTCTGAGAGAGGCAGAATCAGAGAAGAGCTTGTACAGGAAGATGCTGGGTATAAAGAAAGACTATATGCAAGAGGACCAGCGGTACCCTGTCATCAAAAGTGTGAGTGCTGCTAGTCCATGTGTCAGAATCTTGAAGAAAACTTTGCGCAGGGTGTTAAGAAAATAGTTTGAATGATTTGATGATTTTGCATGCCTTTCATTACAAGAGTAGTCTGCTATTATGATATAAATTAGCTCCCACGCTCTTTGATTACAGTTGATTAATTTTGTTATTGGTTCCTCTATATATTTGACTCCTAATCTACATACTCAGTGCAGAGTCTGCTACAACTTCTACCTGTTCTCTTTTGCTTACTCTATTCCTTGAATATTTGTTTTAAAAAAGTTCTAGTCTTATTAGCCTATTATTCCATGGTGGCCCTTGTAAGGCAAACAAGTAAATGTGGACAAGGGCCTAGTTGACCTAGTTTTTTGGGAAATTCAGAAAAAAGGTCTTTGTCATGTGATTTTTCCCAGTGTACTTGATAGCCATTTGAAAATACAACATTAAATGAAATGCATTGTGAAATGATGACAACAATTATGATATAAAATAAAAAAGAATAATCAAAATTTCAGAACCTGTTCACAAATTACTTATTATAAATTTATTATGTTGCTGTTTATACAATATGTTTATAATTTTTTCTCTCCCCTTCTCTAAATAAATTCCCTTGGAATCGTGTTTGTAATATTTGTTACGCTGTTAGTACTTCTAATAGCCTACAAGTACCGAGATCTGTTATTGGGGGTCTTCCAGTGAGGGGGAATAAAGGTATTGTGCGTAAGTTAACTGCTAAAGTGGCCTTGTACTACATATAAAATTAATATTTTACGCTTGGATTTTCGAAGATTTGGTTATCATAATTTTGGGCCAGCTAATCTGGTTACACAACCATAATCTGTTCGCAATGCAGCTATTATCTCCAATGTACATATCTGTGCCATATTATTAGTGTGTTGAAGTGACCCAACTCTGATTGTTATTATTATTACTATTTTTGTCTTACAATTAAGTATATTTGTGGGACTCTGTAGCAGCCAGTGGTTTGCTTCCTGATATTAGCAAAGCACACTTTTGGTAGTATTGCCTTAGGGATCTTTATTTGCTGTTGCCGCTATAGAGATAAAATATATTGATTTAACATCAGTATGTCATTGAAAGAAAATTGATTCTTAGCAGCTATAGAATTACAAGAAAAAAATGATTACAAGCTATGGTTATGTGAAGTAAGCACATATGTTTTTGTAAGTGACTTGTGAAAGATACATATTTTCAGTTCCTATTGATTTTGCTAATATCTCATGACAATAATAGATTAGGCAGTGGAAGAAAACAAAGTGCCATTATCATGTAATTGGAGTTGATGGTTTTGAATCCACTCTCTGGTATGGTGTAATATGAACTTACACCCCACAAAATATTGTTAATACTAATCCACTCTCTCCTCTTAATTTTTAAAGAGAACTGACCAATGTCTGACTACTATTAGATAGGTAGATGGTAAATGTACCTCATGTGCCAGGTGTTCTTTATAAATGTGACCAGGGTGCTGAATTATTCAGTATGAGTTAGATGAGTAGTCTTCAGATGTGAGAAAGAGATATGACAAGGCAGTAGGAAATTGTTTTACATGTACTAAAATCGAAGATTGGAATTCTACATTCACTGTTCATATTTTGTGAAACTTGAGAAATATATTAATATTAATTTCCAAGATCAGCAGTACAGTCTATCCTTGTAATAGCATATTGAAAGGAAGAAGCCACATCCATATGATTGATGAGGAACTCTTAACGATTGGTTAATACATAATCCTTACCTAGCCCTAACAAATTATTCTTCTTGATACTGGCATGTGTATAGAATTTTTACTTCTGATTTAACTAAATGTTGTACTTTAATACTACAAACTATGATAGTTTAAAATAGTTATGGATTAGGGATTAGGTAGTAAAAGCAGAAGAAAAGGTTCTGTATCTGCAGAAGCAAACAAAATGGTTGCTTTGTCATTTAAACACATTTTTTAGAACCTTCCAGTACAGTATACAGAATGATATTCTTACTGTACTGTTCCAAGATTGACAGTTAAGTGAGGATAGAGATAACTGGAGACATTGAAATGCAAGAAAGGGCAAGTACTGATGGTGCAAGCAGCTGGGCAGCCACTTGCATGTCAATGAAGCCCTGGCTTTGCCTCTTTTTTCTCTGTAATGTAATCACTTTCCCCCTTATGATTCAGAATATAGCCAGGCAGTCAGTTCTGACCTCAGACAGTCAGCTGCTGAGAGTTGCTGCACCGTGGGCAGTTGGGGACGACACTAATACATTTTTGTCTGTATCATCCAAAAAGAGGGACATGGGATGAGCAGATACCAGAATTTCTCCATCATACCTGGGGACCATTATAGCTAGGTCTGTTAAAGAGATGGTAGACTCAGGTTTCATGTGAGCAATTTAATTTTTGTTTAATGTTGGCAGCCAAATTCCAAAGTTTTGAGGCTACATGTGTATTTTACAATTATTTATGAACATGATAATGTAGATGGACTTATAAGAAATAGTTGTATTAATGAACTGTTACTGATAAAGAAATATTAGATATCTTTTATACTTCAATAGGAAAGAGAGTATTTGAAAGGGAATGATTTTGTGAAAAAAATACTAAAATAGACAAAAGTTACTTAATGAAAAAAAAAAATCTTGATATTTTACTCAGCTCGCACACACTGAAAATATTTAAATTATTTTCTCTATCTTTTTTTAAACTTATAGGTTTGTACATTTAGGGTGCCAAAATGGGGATAAAAAATAGGTTGTCTTGTATTTTATGTAGATTTGGTCTTGTGTTCACAAAAGCACAACTTGTGTTTAAATGTGAGTGTGTGTGTGAGTGTATGTTGTGTATGAGTCTGTGGTGTGTGTTTGAGTGTATGGTGTGTGTGTGGGAGTGTATGATGTGTGTGTGTGAGTGTATGGTGT